CGGTCGACCTCTATTAGGATGGCTAGAAGAACGTTGGTTTAAGATTGAGTTTTGTGTCCTTCAGACGATTTGTAAGAGGGAGGGATGGCTTCCTGCAGAATGAGTTGCTAATCTACCTTGGACAATCTCAAGAACTTTACCACTACCGTGAATTTAAGTTAATAGATCCAAAATGAACTGAATGAAATGCGAATTAAAATAAACTTGATGTTTATTGCCTGAAAGGAAATCAAATAAGCAATTACACAAACTAATTTGGGTACTTGAATGCTAAAAACAACTTAAATATACTAGAATCTGTGCTAAGACTGAAATATGAAAGCTAAGATGAGCAATCACTATGAAACTAAAGAATTGAAAAATTGATGAGTTTTTGTGTAAGGCTGACCGTGTATTGAAAAAATTCAGAAAGCTTCTATTTATTTGCTTCCTAAGAACTGCTTCCCCGCTTCACTTGTTGGTTGTTCAGATCATGGATAATAACTTCCTTCTAAATTCTAGGGATTGTTGTTTCTTTTAAATTCAAGCTGCAACCAATCGAATAATTTTTATCCTCCCAACCAACTTTACAGATATGCATCCATTCAGAAGATTTAATCTCACATTACCCCTTGACATGTGGCATTATTAAAAAAATGCAATTTATGGTGTAAACACATTTTACAAGAAGATTTTCTTTCCTTTTGCAAATCGTCTGTAAGCGCAAAGCTCAACTTTAAACCAACATTCTTCTAGCTATTCTAATAAAGGTCCACCACGTGGAAGAGTAAGATCATTGAAAAAATCCTACTTTCTTACTCTACAACAAAGTAAATGATATGCCTTACATTCAAATCTACCATGTATGTGTGTTGTTTTAAGATTTTTGAGGAAACAACGAGGCAATAAATAAAAAAATAAAAAGAGTTTAATTGCCACTGTGATGGAACATAAATCATGCCTAATGAGACACACAGAAGATATAGAACATTTATTTTTGAAAAAAAAAAAATTGCCACTATAAAAGTTAATCGCTCAATGGATAAATAATTCTGTCACGAACATATATAAAAGCTTCCACACCCTTATCATACGGGGTCGCATGCGTAATTTTCCTTTGTCAATCTTATGGACCAAACCACTTATTCTACCCCTGTTTCCTCACCTTTGGCAGCGGAGGCTCTTGCTTTGCACATGGGTGTGAAGTGTGCACTGCGTAATGGTTTTAAGAGATCCATTTTCGTGTCTGACTGCAAGGAAAATTATCCAAATTATAAACAAGGAGAGAGGTGTTCCTTTGCAGATTGCTTTTATTCTGGACTCCATTTGGCGGTTGCTCCCTCGTTTTGAACAGTGTTCTTTTGAACATGCGACAAGGTCAGTTAATAAGGCCTCTGATTGGGTTGGTAGACATATTTTGAAGGGTGATGGATCCTTTTATTGGGCGCAATCCCTACCCCTGAATCTATGAAACTTGTTACATCATGATATCATATCTAGTTAATAAAAGTTAATTTTCTAGAGGTTAAAAAAAAAAAAAAAAGAAAAAAAAAGAAAGAAAAGCTACTTATCCTAATCCATGAAGAAAAATTCGTGCTAGATATAAAATATTTGGGAAAAAAAGAAGGAAATATTAGACTAATCCTGTGTGTTGTTTTTTGTTTGAATGATGATGAGAAAGACGATTTCGAGGGACGAAAATGAGGTGGCATGCCATCTCAGCATATATTTTAATAAATATTAAAAAAAGTTTATCTCCTTCACTCATTCTCTCTATTTTTTTTGTAAGTTTTTCTTTGTTACGGCTTCGTCCAAATCCAAGCTCTCTCTTCCAAATCTTCATCATTTGTCCCTATTTTTCTCATCCCCTTGCAAAAACTAAGGGTAGATTTAGGGTTTCTCCTAAATAGGGTTCAATTTTACCAAATGGTTAGGGTTTAGTTTTTCTTTTCTTTTTTTTTTTTTTGAAAATTTTAAAATGACGGCTATGGGTTTCGATTGCCAAGATGGGTTTAAGCCTGGTCCTTGTGTTTGGAGAGGTCCACACAATAGAGGTGCTTGGCAAAAAATGGGGAGATGAGAGAGAAATATAGGAGATTTGGAAAGAAAAAAAAAAAAAAACCAAAAAGGAGGTAGAAGATAAACAGGAAAACATAACTTAATTTAATATATTAATAATGTGGCTTGCCACATTATTGGTCTAAAAAATTCGTCTCATTTATTCATCCTCCTAATCATTATCCTTTTTGTTTTTTGTTTTTTTGGTTATAAAATATTTAGAGAAGTAGTTTAATCTTAATTTAAGGCAAAGATTGCAAATTTAAATTTATGTGATATCGAACATATAACTAATTTTTTCATGTATTAAAAAAACAAAAACAACAACTAATTATGATAGTAACACATTATCTACTTTAACAATGAGAGTTTGACCAAATTGATATTAGTTTTAAAAACTATCTAAACATTTTTCTTGTTGAATTATTTTTCCCTCTCTTATTTCCAAAAGAAGAAAAGATTTTTTGTTTCTGGAAAGTAGACAAAAGAAAATGAAGAAAAAGAAAGGAGTTGAATTTTATTAAGAGAATGCATTTTTGTCAGTGGCAAAAAAATTATAATTAATTTTTGAAGAGAAAAGCTCTTTCTTTATTTATAGTTACAAAATACAAAAAATTAGAACATTTTGATATAAAATATTGGGATATTTAATTAAAGTTACATGATAAATAAGATATAATGTGCATTCTACTTAAATTATAATTGAAATTAAATGCCGTGGTTTTTATTTTTATTTTTTGTGGTTGTTATAATTTTGTAATTTTAGTTGGACCTTTTTTTATTCAAAAAAATCATTGTATAATTTGTATTACATTGATTGTTTGAAAAAGAATCACTTGGATGAGGAGTTAGACTCTTTAATATTTGAAGTCCTCTTCTATTTAATTGTTTTTATTTTATTATCTTAATTATAAAACATTGATTCTATTTTGACAAAATCTTATATTAAGTCCCCAAACTTACTCTAATTTTTCAATTAAAGTCTTGAATTTTTATTAAAGTAAATAAACTCTTAAATTTGATAATTTGGATAACTTAATTATTTTTCTTTACTATGAATTTAATGTCTATTTGTACCTCATTTATAGAGATAAGTTATTAACATGTTATTGTCT